ATGTAGGTGATTTCGAGATCGGGGTATTCGCCAAAAGTTGATTGGGTTTCTTCTTCAACTTCGGAAGATTCGGCCTTTATTCTGTAACGTCTTGATCACTAAAAATTGATATTGTCTCCCTCTCGGAGTGAATTCATCACAGCTGCTACTGGTTTGAGGCTCCAACAACTCAAGACTTCATCAGGAACACGGGTCTATTATCGACCACCTTTATTGTTAGTCCATGGAAATTTTAAAAGGGGCTTAGGCTACATGTCACCAGCGTGATTAACTGTGTGGCTAAGGCGAACATCCCTTTTCGTTGGATCTGGTTTTTTTAGAGCCATTTCACGAGCACGCATAAAGACGCCGCCACTGGCGCCGCTGACGAACCGTCAGAGCGACTCAGAGGAGCAGATGGCAGATGTGGAGCAGTTTGTAGCTCAGTTGCAGGCCAAACGCCAGATGGAGGCAGAGCAGGCTGCGGCAGCAGCTGCTGCCAACACTGCCTCGGACCAACCGCTAATTGGCCCCCAAATCCCTGGCAGCGCCTCTGCGGCGGAGTAGTGTCTGTCTACTCGTGTGTACACCCCCCCACCTACCCATCCCTCTCTCTCCCACTCGTCTCTGGCCATTTCTAATCCCTCCACCCTACTGACCCAATCTTAAGTCCCTAAGAGTGACGCGGGAGAGGGTTTTAATCAAAGTGTTTTTAAAGATGTGCTCTTTTGTTCTCTGGCAGTCCAGCGATGGAGCATATCTTTTGGGAATTGAGCTGCCGACAGGTGAGGTTGACGTGACATGAAGTAGTTTATCTTTTTTTCTTTTGAACGAGCTTGTTGGCCTCTGTCGAATGCTATCCAGCGGGGTGTGGGCCGATTTCTGTTTCTCTGATTAATTCGAGTGGCTACTTGGCTTCCGGTTGTCTCCATTATTCCACTTATTTAGAGTTCTGCGAAGCCTCTCTCGGCAGTTGACGTCGTTATTTTCGATGGCAGGTAGCCATGCGCAGCGTTCATGTGCTGTAACCATCGAGTAAACAGCAAGATGCTCCTCGAAGACAGTCTGCCTTTACTTTGCGATCCTTGTTATCCATCTGCTGAAAGCGGATCTGCTGCTCTGGAGGTCGACTAATTATCCACACTTATATTTCTGCGTTTTGGTGGTTGTTTGACCAGGCACCAAAGTTTCACAAGCTTAAAATTTTTTTCGTCCGACAATGACGGTAAGAGGTGCTTCCCTTAGCGTTGCCATTGCCTCATTCAAATCCCACAGCGCTGACAATTTAGACACCAACATTGAACGAGTAAAGTGACTTTGGTCTCGCGGGTGCCGGGGTCGGTTTGTGTTGCGGTGTCAACTGTCGAACTGTAGATGACGCGCAGGCGGTTGGTTTCCACGGCCCCAGAAGAAATATTCACCTTTTGTGGCCCGGACGACTGCGTTCGTGCTAGTGATCGTTTCCGCTGTTCGGTCGGGTGATGTCACTCAAGAGTATGGACCGGCAAGAATCTCTTCCCTCTGTGAGTTTTGGCTGCGTACTTGTATTGCCTACCTCCTCAGTGTTCCATCGAGTTGGTCTCCTCAATGTGGCTTGCCAGGTGAGCTTCACTGACCCTACCAGTGCTCACTAATTTCCTGTTTTTTGGATACGGTTTCATTTCCGCTCATAACTCGAGTGTCCCCCCAGGACAGCATAAAATTCATTGATTGGAAGCAATCATACCGGAGATTCTGTCCAAAAAGCCATGCGTTTGTGAGGAACGTTCGATAATCTATTTGGACGTGAAACGATGGGGTTGAACATCAGTTGAGAGGGACAGGGTCCTCGTACCATCGGCTATTTCGCCTCAATCACGTCCACTGTTCCACGGGCGTGAAAAATGATTTTGCGCTTTCGAGACGAGAGGAGACGATATCTCTCACGCCCGAGCCTGCCAAGTGATTGCTTTTGTTTATCAAAATGCTTTTCAGCTTTAAGAGCCATCAGCCACGAGTGGAGACGGCTTTGAGAGTAGTTGTGTTTTCGCATCTGTGCGGACGAAGTAATCCATTTTTGATGGTATGTGAAGGGGAGTTGCCTCCGAAAGCTCTACCCATCGGGACACTCGGAAGTTTCATCCATTTATCCCGTACTCGTTCATCCATCCAAACCAAAGAAAGTCCCTAGAACGGATTTACTAAAACAGAAATTTAGTTGTCAAAGATGTCTCATAAAAGCTGGATGTCGAGATTCCCATCCAACAGAGGGCAAAGGAGCAGTGTTTCGATAGACAACTCTGTGTACTCCCATTACGGGGTGTGAAGAAGAACGTTTTTATCTATCTTTGGTGGAGCGAATGGTGGATGGTTGGGTGAGTAGGTGGGAAGATGTACACACCTCCGATCCGGTCGAAAGTGAATGCAAAATTGTTTGTGGAACCCATCTCTCTCCATCCATCTATGCATTCCGTTGTGTTGGCACATCGGAGTTAAATTTCGCAGGTGGTGGTGATTCAAAACTGGGATTGCACGGGCCTCCTCCATCTCTGGAAGGGTCCAGGCGTCTGAAAAGAAAGGTGACAGAGTAAGAGGCGGGAGGGAACGCTAATATCTCGGTCTGCGTACGCACATCCACATGACTCACCCACAGATATGACAGTGAATGGCTTTTGTTGAAGTTCTCCAGGCTCGGTCATTCCTCAGCCACTTGAAATGGCTAAATTTGGTCGAAAGGGGCAAGGGATTACTTGAAGATGAATGATGTAAATGCATGCGAGAAAGAGCTGGGTGCACTGATTCGTATCTTTCCTTAGTGGTTCTGTGACCTTGAGCGGCGCATTGTTCGGTGAAATGCGCGGTGAAGATTGTGATAGCTGGGTGAAGAAGCAAGCGGACGTAATTCCGAGTGGTGGACAGATAAAAGCGCAGTGATTTCACAGCGGTACCTACCTTCTCTCGGCCCGAAGGTCTGCCTGTTCCACGTCCGATTTGATGTGTTGCACTGTTTGCAGAAGGTCTGCCAGAACTCCACTCCTGGAATACCTTAAAGATTCGGGTTCAGCACTCCCGTGCGAACTCGGACTTGGAGGCTAAGGGAAGATGGTTTAGAGAATCAACAAGCACTCACCTCTCGATGGCGCATACGGTAAAGGAGGTTTCTGTAGTCGTTGTCCAACTTCTCCAACTCCGAGTCTACTTGAAGACGATTTCCACTGAGTCTGCGGAAGGTGTCCCGAAGACCCCTCAACCGTTCGCCTTCTTGTTTAATTTCCTAGCAGCGGCAAGAGCAAACTTTGGTTATAATTGGAGACCCACCTCAAAGGAGCTCCTTTGACGATCACGCTTACTGAAGAGGGCCCTTTGAAAAAGCCAACTCCGGAAGCTGTCCAAATCAGCAACATATATACGCCAGTCTTCTTGCAGACGCCGCAGATTTTCTATATATTCCTTCAACTTGGATATGGCGGTCTCCAATCGCATAATCGTTTCTCTTACGACGATTAACATAGAAGAATCGTATTTGGTAACGATCCGCCCGATTTGATCTGACCTTTGTTGAGAACCTCCAGAGTCGTCGGTGCTAAGTCTAGAATAAGGAAGATTAATTTTTATGGGTCGGTCAGACGGTATCTTAGCAACCACTTATAAGAGGAGTCCAGTCATTCCAAGCTCTGTCAAAGACTTTGTTTACCGACTGCATATCCTTAAATTAATTCGCCCAGCTCTTCGCCCTTCTCTTCATGTCTCCATCCATCCATCCTGTATCCATCCATTCATCCATCCATCCACCCATCCATTTATCCACCCCGCATCCATGCATCCATCTATCTACTTATTGGATTTAGTTGATAAGATTTCCAGATTACACTGTCATTTAAAGTCACAATGCTTACAATTTCATAGTTACACTTATCTGACCGGAGAAGTCTTCCAAACGTGCAAGGGTCGACGTGGCAAAGGCTAATTTACTGACGGTATCATCATATCCGTGGGTCGGTAAAAGACCATGAATACCAGGGAGGTTTTCATCCAAGTAGATCTGAATTTGACGCACAAGACGGCAGAAATATGGCCAGTCCATTGTAGAACATTGAGCAGACTTCAACGTGATGGAAAAAGGGGAGGCGACATGTATAAGGAACGAAAATACTCGCATTTTTTGAACTGGAGATAATGAACTAACACTCACTCCGTCTCCTGAACTAGTTGCTTTGCCGAATTGCTCTTCCAGCGTCTGGAATTGTCGAACTACGTCACAAATAAGCGTAGAAGCAGTAGATTTCCATCCACTTAGCTCTTGAAGCAACTTGCTTGTATCTCCAAGCTTCCGTGGAAAGTGCCTTTGATGCGACTGGCTGTTCACCCTGATAACCATTTGCTGCACAATGCTCCGGCACTGTTCCAACTTCGAAGCGCCTTCCTCTGCATCTGGTTGTGGATTCCTACTTTCCCTTCGTTGTAGCCAGGCCATAAGGTCATGTGAAACCCGTCTGAAATCGTCTGCCAACTCCTGAATATCGTTCAGGAAATTTAAATGGTTCTAGAATTGAGTTCATCCATTAGAGTGGAAACCTACTCTGAGACGCTTTTCGAAAGCATTCAGCCTGTTGACTGTATCCGTCATGGCGAGACCAGATGTCTGCGAAGAAAAACGAAAAATCTCTTCTTCCACTTTTTTCATTTCTATCCTTTTCTCGGAAACCGTTGAATCAAGAGCCTAAAAGAAAGTGTTTAAATTCGATTCCAATTACAAAACCTACTCGCATTTCGTGAAGCTGATGGTTCCAAACTGTCCCACTTTCAGTAGCCTCCTGATTTTCGATCAGCTGAACACTTTCATTGACTTTGGCTTCAGCCGTGTCAAGCCATTTTACAAGGCCTGTCCGTCTATCCATTACCTCCTTCCATTTCACGAGCAGCTTCTCATACTCTGCTATTTTCTTCAACCATTAAAAATGTCACTCAATTTTGTTAAGTAGGCATCCTTTCCCAGCTAAGTGACAACTTACATTAGGTATTGTCTTCGCTAAGTCATCCAAAACTCCCACCGCTGACATAACACTGTCATGCCAGCGATAACTCGCTGACAGCCGGAAGCTATGCCTTGGGTAGACACGAATAGAAGACGCTGGAATGAGTGCAGAGGTAGCATCAAGGGAGTGCATTGCTCGGGATAACGTGATTGTCAGCTTTTGTGTCTCATCAGCCACTGCCTGTTGCTTAGCCACACTGGAGTCTAGCCCTGCCTGTACCTTCTAAATTTTCTTGTTAAACTAGTCATCTTTTCAAACTTACCTTCAGTTCAGTCAAACACTGTTCAGTTGGGACGGTGTTTGTTGGTGAATTGTTAAGTCTGGATAGTATGGAAGCCTGCTTGTCAATCCAGCCGACAAAATCCTGACAAGTTACATTCCACTTAGCCGACTGAGCAGCCACGGTGCTGAAATGATCAATCAGCTCCTCACAAGCGCGTAATAGTTGATTATTCTGTTGGAAGAGCTGATTCACTTGTGCTGTTCGTGAGTCGTCGCCATGGTCTCGACGCAGGACTCCACATTGATCCACCATGGATTGAAACTGAGCCGCGTTCATCTTAATGTCGGCTTCTACGAACTAACAAAAGGCCAAGCTTTACCGATGACAACTGCATTTGTGCGTGGCTATAGTACTAACCCCTTCATTTCCTCACTTGTCTGTACTTTTATTCATTGTAAGTTACCTAGCGATCAATTATTCCAATGTCTAACCTACTCTACTTCTTCGCATTTTTTCCAATATTTTTCATTTTAGCCAAATTTATTAGTTGACCAACTTGGGTCGTCAGTCTCGTTCACCCTAAAGATTGACAACCTACTGTCATTCGATGATATGTTACCTGTGCATTACTTTGTCGCAAAAGGGGATCAAACTTGACCTTAGCTTTGTCTCCGAACGATAATCAAAGGGCTAATGCTAACGCAGACAACAAATCAAAGATACTACTACTAGCAGTTAATTAGTAGGTTATTGGAACAATAAATGTTTTTCCTTTAAAGCCCCCTACTAATGAGCCGTTAAAACGTAAAACGCACTTTTAGCTCTTGCACAAGCATATCAACCCCATCCACCCAGCCCAGGTCGTCCAGATTTGCCAATTCTATCCGCATTCTCTCCACCTGTGGTGCCAGACGACTCGACGATATTTTTACGGAGGAGAGAACTGGTAAGCGTCCACCACTTCCAAGATATGTGGTCAGTAAATCGTTAACCCTAGCCGAAGTGGTTGTCAAAGCTTCGGAGGAATTTCGGATTAACCTTTCGAGTCCTGCCACCAGCGCACAATAGTTTGCGTAGCTGGCTTTTGCCTGCGAAATCGCTGTCAACATTTGATCAATCTCCTGATCCATCTTATCTACTTCAGTGAGAGCTACTTGAAGGAGAGAGGCGCTGCTACTGCTACCTTCTGAAGCATTTATAGAAGCTTGTAGAAGACCAAGAGTGTGGATTTGATTTTGACGAAGTTCAGATGCTGTTGCTTCAATCTCCTCGGTGGAAAGACCATCTTCTCCGATGTCGATTGGGTCATGTCTGGATCGAAGTGCCTAGCAGAAAAAAGAGGTATTCAAAGTCATGGAGGGCAATAAATCGGCCTTAATGGTGTATCCGTCATATCTTAGTATCATTGAGTTTCGGTAATTTCATCCTATTGATAACTCATCAGGGTGTTCATAAATTTCTGTCGCAATTCTACCCAGACTCCAACATCCTGCAGTGCCTTAAGGGACAACCTGCAGACTGCATTAGTCAGTTGCGATTAGCATAAATTCTGGTGAATTAAAGAACTTATTCAGTAATTTTTACCACTAAAATTTTACTTTCTTTTTCCTTTGCAATTCTTCATGAACCACCCCTGATTTTAGTAGATTAACTGTGACCTTAAGCTGACTCCTCAGCATTCAGCTTCGTGTTCTCAAATTGGACTCACTTTAAGTCTTTCCAGTCGTTTTTTCACGCTTTTAATCCACTCTTTCGTTTTTGCGAGGCTTCCACGAAGGCGTTCTATATGCGTGCACATCTCTGTCAGCTCGGAAACACACCGACTCGCCTTGCGCTCACCAGCTGCTATTCCTCGTCTCAATGAAGTCAGTTCAGCATCCTCTGCTTCATTTTCCATCAAACTCCTGGTTCCGCGCCTCTCCGTCACCTCTTCAATCTCCCTCTTCTTCGTTTGTACATCCTGGTGCAGAGCTCTGACGTTGTCCAGGCAACGAAACTTGTTGGAAGGAATACTGGCAGTTAGCTGAATACCCAATTCCAAATCCGCGGTGTTTTGAGCTTCCTCAAGACTTCTGTTCCAGTGCTGCAACCAATCTCGAAGGCTGGAGGTCAGGACTTTTAGAGACTCGCGTTCAGAAGCAACTAGTCGGTCTTGTGCCTGTCTTTCTCGCTGCCAAGTCTGTATGATCTGCAAAAGACGTTGTCCTCGTGCTAGCTGAACCCGTAATTCAAGGTCATCTTGGACGTGAGGCTTTATCTCTGATTCCAGCAGGGTTTGTGCACTCTCACTAAGTCGATTTAGCTCCTCCATTGTCGATGTAGCCTCGTTGCATTCGAGTACGAGAGCATCCAGATTATTCACAGCAACCTGAAGCTTCTTTACTCTATTTAGACCCTCCTCAGCCACTTGCAACTTGAATTGAAGCTCATCAACCTTCTCATTTACCTTCGCTTCGTAATTATCCAACATGGACTTCAGCACTACTTTATCCTCTGTAATTCGATTAGCTTTTCTGTGCAACTGACTCAACTGATCCTTCCCAGTCGCTGAAGCGTCCAGCCGATTTTTAGCGCTGCATACCTCTAGACATCTTTGCTCTGCTATGCTCTGCAGTCGGTTCGTATTCCGTTGAGACTCCATCTTACTGAATGCTTCAACAGGAAATGCAACAACTTCAGTGTTGTCTTGTTTTTCCGTTAAGCCCTCAGTTTCATTTTCATGGATCCACTTATCAATCTTTTTGGCTGTAGAAAGGACATCCTCCCAGGCATTAATTTGACTTGACAGATTTCCATCCACAATCTGCAACGTCTTCCTCGCCCCCTCCACCTTCTGTCGACAGGCTTGAAGGCTTCCTAGCAAACTTGGATAGCTGGCAGCGTCACATTCTAAGGAATACACTTTTACTAAGACGTTTTCAATTTTTGGTTCGTAGAGGCTCTTCAAAGATTCTCTGCTTCCTCTAAGATTGGTGCACACTTCTTCAGCACTTGTGGCTTCTTGAATTTGCGAGGCATTGAAAAATCGACTTTCAAGTTCCGCGCACAAACCCTCCACTTCCAACATGACTTGTTTAAGTCGATCTTCAACAACTTTTTGAATGTTCCCCTTTTCTTGAATTACACGTTCTAGCTGATCAAGCTGCTTCTGAATAGAGCCTCTTTGACCTTCTAAGATAGTAAGCTTTTCCTTGGCTCCCGGTTTCAAAGAATAAGGTCCAAAATGCAAACTCTCCCATTGACTCATCTGCGACTTCAGCTGCTTCAGTTGGTCATTCAGCGCTGCAATATTGTTTGAACTCTGAGCGTCAATAGTGGCTTGTTGTACGACATGTTGGAATTCGTCCAGCCAGGCTTGAAGCATCAGAATCTCCTTCTCTTTTCCCGTCTTCTCAGAGATAGCCTTTTCCACACCCTCGATAAGTGCGTTTAGACGATGCTTGGCTAGATTCTCCCACATTGAAAGAAAAGACAGGGTTGGAAGTGTTGAATTGTCTGAACTAGCAATCGAGCGTATTTTGGCCAACAATTCATCGCCAACAGGAACTTGTCCCTTTAGAAAATGCAGACGAGACAACATTTCTTCCTCTTCCAGCGCTGAAACAAATCGGTAACGAGGTTCTATGTCATCAAGATCCTTGCGGAATCGTTCACACAGAGCTTCAGCCATTGCTGAAAGTTGTTTCAGCTCACGTTCTTCGGAAACTCGCGTCTCCCACAGTAGTGTCGCTTTAGAGACGTTTGTCTTGACTGTAGTAGTAGATTTTTGAAGTTCTTCCAGTCTTGCACGGATCTCCCCAATGTTTGCAAGATCTATTCCAGCAGCAATATTGGCGCTAGCTTCTCGAATTAGTTTTTCAACCTGTCTAAGTTGCTGAGGCAACCATGACCTTTCCATATCTCGTGCTTTCTGAAGACCTTCCATACGAGCTGTCGGTGAGCTATCAAAATCCACGCTTGGGCAATAATCTAGGATCTTTAGATCTTCCGAAACCGTTCGTAACTCCTCCATCTCTTCCTTGGACTTAGCCATCCAAGCTGATGCTGCTTCGATAACACCCTCTAGGGATTCACGGGCCTTGTCTAGACACCCGGAATAGGTCTTCAAGGCTGTCTGCAATGGCCTGAGTGCATCATCGACGAATATGTCAGAAAATGTGCTTGTATGCTGTAGAAGGTGATTAACCTTTGACTCAATTCCAGGCAAGATGGTGCTTGTATTTAAGACAGAGACTTCAATAGGGGTAGATCCTTCGGCTGCCTCCAAGTCCTCCTCTAATACCTCTATCGACTTTAAACGCTCCTTAAGTTCCTGTATGTCTTGAATCGGTAGTCGAAAATGCACATTCTGTTGAAGTGAAGAGATATTTGCATTGACTGCGTCGCAAGCAGCAGAAACACTCTTGGTGAATTGATCAAACTGGACATTCTGTTGTTTTAGCCTTGTCTTCACAGCATCATGTTTAATCTGACCTTCTGTTAGCAGTCTCGAGGCCTCCGCAAGGAGATCAGTTAGCTTGTCACTTGACTTGACTTTTGAGGCCTGAGATATGACACGTTTGAGCTTACTCACCGAAGAATTATAACTGCCTTCACATTCTTTGAGCTTGGCCTGGAGAGTAGGGAGTTCGGTGGGTGAACTCACCTCTTCACACTCTTCCAGAAGCCCAACAATCTTGTCAACGTCTGTCTCCAGATCAGAAACGGCTTTCTGCAGACAAAAATAAAGATCTTCCAACTCTGTCACCTTAGCGCTGGCATCTGAGCTAACCTTTGCCAGACGTTTAGACGTCTCACTAAAGCACTCTTGAAGAGAGTCGGGGAGCTTGCAGAGAAATTGCGGAACTTGACGGGGTACATGAAAGGCCTTTTGGAGTTCCTCCACATCAGTGGTAACGTTGCTTAATGCATCCCGTTCTTCTTGGTCAAGGCAGTCTGCAAGACCTTTCAATCCATTGAAAACATCTTCAGGGCTTCTAGAAGTCTTAAATTTCAACAATTCATCCATTTTTGAGTTGGTTGTTTCCAGAACGTTTCGAACACGAGTGAAACTGGAACATAGTGCCTCAGCTTTTCTGCTAATGTTAGCTTGCGCTGAGAAAGCTTCATCAAGGTCTGATTTTATCTTTTGGACTTTTCCAGTCTCCATTTCTAGCAAACTTACAATACCTTCACCAAGTTCATCACACAAATGGCGCATCTCGGCCACTTTTGAGTCCACATGAGCTGAAAAGGCATTCTTGATTTCCTCCACAAACTTAGCACAAACAGCCTCCTTCTGTCGAATCGATTCCACAGCCTCAGAAATCTGCTTTAACTGGCGAGGATGCAAGTTGGCAGGATAGCTTGGACGACAGGCAAGGAGGTCCGAGTTTGCCTGTTCCACTAGCTGGTTAAAAGTCTTATGAGCATCCTGAAGCTTCGTCCAGATGGTGCGTTTCCTCTGCGAAGCCGAGCTTAATTCCTCGTGACGTCGTTTGGTTTGCATTCTGCGCTCAAGTAGGTCTTCCACCTCGGTCAAGATCAAGCCCAATGGAAGATTCCGTTGTTGATATTGTTGGATTTGGTGAATGGCTTTGTCAACGTCTCCCAATGAGCTATCAACTTCCTGCAAGGAGAAGAATATTTAGTATACAGGCAATAATTAACGGCGATTTCGTAGCAAATCGACCACAGCAGTCTTCAAAAGCTGTACTTCAGTTAAGCTGCCATGACTCAAAAACCAAAAGCAGATTTTATTTTTTAAGGAATTAAAACAGCCGTGGGCTGCTTTACTGTGTCAAATCTGACCATTTTTTGATGGAACTCAGTGCAATCACAACTGACGGATATCAAGTTACATGTGTGATGAACCAGAAGAAACTGAAAAAACAACTGCGTCAACATTTGTAATGACCGGAATAACCTCAAGAATCCTTTGGTTTTGCAGACCTCTTCTTGAAGCATTTTGGAGAGCGTCCTTTAGCAAATCCACCTCTTGATCAACATTGTCGTCTGCCACTCTGTCAAGCTTGCCCTCAACACCATGCAAGAGTGTATTACAGGCATTTACGCTGGAATCTAGCTCATTCCACGCCGTCAGTACTTTAGAGCATCTATCCCGCTCCTGTGAAGCAATTTTCACCAATGCATCATATCGTGTTTTCAACCTTCTCTTTCTCTCTCTCGTCGTCTCATCCGACACTTCCTCCCTCTTTGCGAGAAGGCTGGAGATACGCTGAGATCCAGTAGATGATATTTCTTTGAAAAGACTAGTAAGACGAGTGAATTCGGACTTTAGAATTTGGCGGTCAGCTTGAGCCGTTGAGGCCTCCATGGAAGACAGCCTAACCTGGTCTTCCATCTTTGCTAACCATTCCTCTAAGCTTTGAAGATTGTCCTCCACCTCAGACTGAGCCTTTAGACTCCTGGTTACCTAAAATGAAAAGTAAACGCATTACTCCTTTTTCCCAAGAATTTATTTTGGCATACCTCACCATGTTCTGATAAAAGCGCTGTAAATGCTAGCTCCACTCTCTTCTTCAACTCATCCAGCTCTCCTTGAAAAAGTCGAACATTAGCAGTGGATAGACTAGTGGCAGAAATCCGATCAACACAGGCTTGCATTTCTTGGAGCACCTCTGTGGTTCTTGCTTTAACCTGGAGTTGATTTTCAATCTCCTCTGCACGTCTGGATAAATCGATGGTGGAGGAGGCTATAAGGCTGTGACGACTTCCCCCGGGTGGTTTACTAGTGGACGACTTGATCTCCTGAAGAGACAGTTCCACTGTTTTTTCATGGTCTTTGAACAAAATGAAGTCAGTTTTGAAGGCGTTTGCTCGTGTAAAAAGGTCCTAAAATACAGAAGACATACAAAATTTGATATTCTGTTACCCTTCTTTGCAGGATTTCCCAGTCTTATAGTATGTAAGTTAGTTACCCAGCTGAATTTGGCATAAAAGAGATCAACCTACCCAAAACAAAGCACCCTTTTTTCTGAAAAGGGCTTCGTTACAAAACCCTCTCACCTGCTATAGCTCGCCTAAGCCATACAACTTGTTACTTAACACTTACCAGTAGCAAATCTATTATCAAATAGTTTGGAACGGGTTACAGCAATACACGTTATTGACAAGACTTTAAATTTGTTTACTATCATTTGCAAATAAATTGGAATTACTGAGTTTGAAAATTATTATATATTTTAAATGGCCAATATGTCAAGCAGCTGTAGGGCTAAAGCATAACTAATCACATTGCAAGCGGTACAAAGTGTCATCTCAACAACTAGAAACCTGAAGAATCCAATTTAACCAGTTTGATTAACATGACCAACAAATAAGTAACTTTGGAGCTTACATTTATTTTTTCACAGAGTTCTATATGCTCTTGCTGTATTTCTACGCATCCAGAGGGTGCATTGAAGTCCGGATCATCAAGAAGAGTTTGTAGCCCTATGGACTCATTTTGACAAGCGTTGATCATATTGATAAGATCCTGAGACAAAAAGTCAAGTTATTGTATGAACTCACAACTATTTTGAGAAGACAAAAACCCTCGTTGCCTTACATTGCAGTCGGAGTACCATGAGTTTATCGCTTCAAGATCCTTCTGAGCGGATTTACCAGATACCCTTGGTCCATTTTCAAGGGCCAAAAGCTTCGCCTTCGCCTTTCCAACAACGTTCTGCAAGACCTCGGTGAATTCTTTGAAACCCTGAAGTCGTGCTAAGGCTTTTTTAGATTCCTCTTCAATCGCAGCTTTTCGCTGGAGAAGATCTTCATATCGTTGTTCAACGTCTGTCACCTTGAAAGGAGACAACGTGGTCTTTCTCTTCGATTGAATTAGAACTCCAGACCATAAGATGAGACTCACCTTATTTTCAAGTTTTCCAATCAGTTGCACCCTTTCCAAATGTCCTGGAATAAGTTGGTGAATAGCTTCTCGAACATCTCGAAGGTAGTCCATGTCCTTGGGCAACCTCTCATCAAGAGTTTGCTCCAAATCCTGCAAAGCATTGCACAAAACTGTAAGAGGGTGCCTTGATAATCTCACTGGTCAAATAAAACTAGTCTGATTTCACCTGAAACATCGCCATACCGCGCTTGACCAGATCCACATTGACGGAGGCAAGATCTGATTCAATTGCATCGAAGTATCTTGCCATTTCAATTATCAGCGCATCAACTACGTTAAACGCCTCCTCTAGATCTTGCTTCCCTTGAACTTTCATCCGATGGTTTGTCTTCAACGTCTGCAGAGAGGTGACGACTTCCAATTTTAGAGGCGTCACGAATTTGCAAGGCTGTTTTCCATCATAAGCTAAGTCGTAAAGCCTAACTGCATCGTGGCTTAATGCAAACTAACCAATAAAGATGCATTTCTTCTACTTAATTATCGAATACGAACACAAACTAGGAATAAAGGGCCAACTTCTGACCTTCCAGGCATCAGCAAGTTCTGCTTTTCGCTCCTTAGATTCATCAAATGTGAGATCTTGAACATATGTCTTCACTGGAGCTGACCGAATCAAATTTTCCAAGTCACTGATTAAAGCAGTGAGTTTAGGGAGGCCGTTGTTGAAGGTGGCTTCCAATTCTTCAAAATTCTGAAAGAGAGACAAAAAAGGATTCGGACGCTTGTAAATACCTCTCAATTTGATGGTGTGAAGCCCTCTCTTTATGCCGATTTTGCCACTTCTCTTCCAGCTCTTTAGCCTTACGTTTTTGATAATAACTTTGGAGGTGACTTGAGTTCTGTATCTGTGGAATGGCTTTTTATTTCATACGATACCGATCAGTTCCCACTGTTGCCTACCACAAGCATCCAAAATCTCATTTACTCTGGTATACAAAAGAACAACATCCCCAGAGATGTCTTGGGCGTTGTGATATTTTAAAAGCACGACAATCACATCACTGCCTAGCCAAGTCACCTATCAGCGGCGCTGAACTTCCAGAGTGACTTCACCTAAGCATCTTATACATAACTGGGACCTTTGAGTACCTTAGACGGCGCTTGAATTTCGCCTTCCAGTTGTGTTAGAAGGTTTTCAATCTCATCGCTCTTAGCCAATATTTGCTCCAAGTTCTTCATCTGGGCTGATAGAGTCCGTTGTTGCTGAAAGAACTCCATGGCCACCGCATCCATCTCTTCAACTTGTGCATCGGCAAGTGTCCCTGACTTTGTCTGCTCAATGCTTTGAAGCAGATCTTCTAACTATTTTAAGGAGAGCAGATAGGTCCAAAATTAAGTCGACTTCTGGAAAAGGCAGCAAATACTGCTACTTAAATAAAACGCGTCACGAATTTCTGCGCTTTGGTGTGACCATTTGGACGTCACATATGCGTGACTTCGGCTGTGAACGTATTAATGTCTCAATGCCCAAAAGCAACGTATTTGTCCTTTAATAAAACCAACTGGTGCTGGTGCAGAAACTTTGTTTTCGACAAGCTGTCGAGCAGAAATTCGCATCTTTATTTGATGTTACGGGTAGTGCTTATTCCCTATATCTTAAGCCGGTGGTTAGAAGGACTCGGTCTTCACTATAATTGCAACTCACTGAATCTGTTTCAGCCATAAGTTCTTGGATAGCGGTTATCTTCGTATCCAACTTGCTAGGCATCTGTTCTGGATCAGTAAGGATGGCTTCAGCTCTGCCATTCCAATTTGAAATAGAGGTTAAAACTTTTTGAACTCTCTTTTCCACTGCCTCTCTTAAAAGCTCCTCTTCTCGAGCCTTTTCTTCAATCTAGAAAAAAAGTAGGAATGTATAATGAAATTTTTGAAAGAAGAAATCTTTCTAGCATGGATTTTTTTCCACAAAACTGTCAATGTTGCGGGTTCAAGGTTAAACTAAACGGCTAATTTGAATAAACCAGCATGAAAATGCCCGAGTGCACACATGTTTAGTGTTTATTTGGCATCCGTAGCTTAGTAACCACAGCACACAAATTCCAAGGCTAGTACACCAAATTCCCATTAAGAGAAAAGGAAATATAGACATTTTTCACTCACCATTACTTTCAATTCTTCAAGCTGTCGGAGTGAGATGGCCACCGAACTGAGTTGAGTTTGTGTTCCCAATGCTCCGGCTGCCGTCTCTGCCTCTTGAAGCATCTCTTCGATAACTTCTAGATTCACCTTCTTGCTGCCTACGTGGTCACTCTTCAGGTGTCTATATACCTCCTCCATTTGTGCCTTAATGTAAAAGAATTTCAGTCGTGAGTGTCGGATTCTTGGCTTCAGAGGCGCAATACAGAGTAGCAAATGTCCTTTCACCATTGGTCGACACACGCGATAGCCACCTTTCATCAAGATGTCAGATAGCAGTCGTAGGACATGCACACAGGTGCGGAATGATATGTGGTACTGAACAAGTTGTCTTGTTCAGCATCGAACCCGCTGTTACCTATGGAAGGCTCTCATCCTAGTATGAAGATGGCACATACAGTCGAAGCAAGATATTCAACTACCTTAAATACGTTTGCTAGGAATGCTTATGTCGAAAGCGGTTCCTATTCTGTAGCCTCGACAGGAAGGGCAGATTCATCTGCTTTGCATCATTACACGCTTTCAATAGGGAAGTGGGAGTGTAATGATTAACGACACACACACTTACAATGAAAGGATAGAAGCCCTATAAGGCAGTCTAGTTGCATTGATCATCCTCTCCACTCTAAAGGCACCTTGCAGATTGCTCTTGTCCTTAGGCGGCTCCAAAAGTCCCAGATTTATTCAAAATATCACGAGCAAATTAATCATAATATTACCACAGCCTCGTTGAGCTTAGTCTCATAGGTTTTCCAGGCCTGAATCCGCTCCTCTAGACGTTGACCCAGCTCCCTTAGCGAGATGTCGTCCAGCGAGGCAGGGTGAAATGCATCCGCAGTGCGCTGAAGCCAGTAACCAATCACCTCGGAGGTCGCACCAAGTGGGAGAGGTCGAGCTGATTGCTCTAATTGCACTACACTCTTCAACCTGTTGGTTAAGTCACTCACTGGACTCGGGTTGGCTCCAGAAAGCGCGAATTTTTCCTCCCAGGGCTAGAAGTAGTCAAAAGGCCGGTATTCGAATCTAGTCATACTCGAGGAGAGAAAGGTGAGCCTCTGTTCATGTCACTTTGATGTCACCGGTTTCTAGTCACTTTCAGACTAGACTATCTTACAGGGCCTTTAGGGATAACTAAAGAGGTACTTCGATGTCGGAATAGTAGAGTATGACATCTGGATGGATCCGCTCGTTATCATCAGAAGGGAAATCTCAAGTGAAGCTGAGCAGAACCACAAAAAACTTACTACAGAAGGGGCAGGTAAAGCACATTAAATATATACTAACTACGATAAATTTTAGAAGTGTCTTGACTGGGAACAAAAGGGGATGTGAGTCCCACCTGTGTTCAAACGCCCTATGAGTAAAGGTGACAAATATCTCTTCGAGCTTAAAGAGGTTGAGAATAACCCATCAAGTGACGCTTGGAAGGTAAGAAGATATAAATTCTTGTCGTGGATTTAAACCATGAAATGGTTTCCCATTCCTATTTGGAGTTCATTACTTTCCACTCAGAAGTGGTCTATGGAAGATAATAGTCAAGGAGTCGCCCAGAGGCACGCTCCTTCAAACACCTCACCATGAATGCCTCATGAGCACTGATCACCAAGGCCAGGGTTTCATTCTGCCGATTTCCTGAAATCAGCTCTGCCCACTCTTCAATCAATTCTCCAAGGTTCGACTCTTGCATTGCATTGAGGACACTTCTGTAACAACCAGAGGCTCCCAATACCACTACATATCCATCCACCTTGTTCATAACCTCTTCCATAGTTTCCTCCAGCTTTTCCGCAACCGATTCGTCCAGGTCTGACTTTGCTAAGAACTTTTTGAGTCGGGTGGCCTCCGTTACGGCGTTGTCAACTTCAGGTCCAAATATCTTCTAAAATACAAGAAAGGCGAAAAACAGTCAGTAAGAAGAATGGAAAAAAGGATGACTTCAGCCACAGCAAAAATACTTCAGAAAGTCCATTTTGGCACCTCATTACTGTGCTCTCATTCAGTCTTTCCCAACTGGCCAATATCACTAACACTGACTGGTAGATTAAGACCATTTGGAATGATACAAATATAGGGAATGGTGAGCGCGGTCTTTAGTATCCCATCACACCGAGTAGCAGGCTTGTGCACACACCTCTTACCCCTAGTATCGTCAACAGAGATTCCTCTTTTGAAGCCTTTGTCATTTTGCAACTACGGTTTGAGAGCGCGATGAGGGTGTGGAATAATAAAGCTGACAACTGGCTGTTGCGGAGAGTGCCTGGCTATAAACCCAGACCAAGGTAGACATATGAGTGACAGCCCTGAGTGACGGATGCCATTTCTTTGCTGGTTGACATAAACGACGTTCTCAGGGGAGTTTAGACACCCCTCACCAAGACGCCAGACAACAGTGATGGGGCTTGCGCACGAGCATGAAATGAAGTGGAGTGTTGTGCAAGGTATCCTGTTCACCATCAAACCCGCTGATGACCGGAAATAAATGACTTTTACAAATGCAGCATAACTCACAGTCTGTTCTTCCATCAATTTATGGATCGTCTCCTCATTGCCTGGTAGTGGAATACCATCTTCCTCATCCTGACTCCATCCAATGTCCACCTGCTCCATCCATTGTTCCACTAAAACCATCCATCGTCCGCTTTGTCGAAGGTCGCCTGGAAGTCGCTCCAATAGCCACCATCGCCACTCCTTCAAACGTTCCTCGAAGTGATTGAAGGCGTCCAGACCGGAACGTGGACTGTATTGTCCACCGACTAGAATGCAGTCGTCAGCCTTTTGTTGTAGGAGGTCAACGAATTTAGAGTACTTCTCAATTAGCTCCACTGTGGTTATGTAGACCTGCACACAGACAAGAAGTGGCTTGCAATGCGTGTGGAAAGACTGAGTTAAGAAACGACTATTAGTACTAAGAAATGGCAGGGTGGTTTGGCCTTTTATGCGCTTTTCAGTGTCAAAGGGAAGAAGTTAGCCTATTTTCGAAGTACTTTACTTTTGACATCATGAATGAGTCCTTGAAAGATGGAAACGATGAACTAAGAGGGAGGGTTTCTAGGTGTACCGTGGTGATTTTGACTTCCCACGTATACACCTACCTATCACCTATAATTACCACCTTTTTGGCCAAAAATAGTGCAAGCGTTTGGAAATTAACTGAGCGCTTTTCCGGTTTCGCAAATAAGTTCTAAGGGTTCTTTCTTCCTTCACTTATGACCATTCCAATTCCTTCAGCCACGGACAACTCGGTGTGAGCTCACTTGCCGACGGCAGTAAATCGGTGCCTACGGTGTACAGATCTTCTTTTTACACCATTTTTGGTGCAAGAATGCACTTTTTTTTACACTTTTCCATTTTACAGCCATCTATACCATTTGAACTAAGCTACAAATATTAATCGGTCTCAAGACTCGCTTAGGTTAACCAAACATTACTTTTCATTTTAAGTGTCCTACGTAAACTCGATAAAGCAAATTAAATAACTATTTTTTTAATGGTAAACAATGAATTTATCAGTGGCTCTCCCTAAAGGCACTAAGAGAGTCGGTGCTTGAAAAAAAGATTTGGAAAGTATCCTCTGGGGTTATTACTGACGGTCTTCTCAGAGCCTTGATGATTGCCTTTAAGCTGATGCATTTGGAGGCCACAGTACAGGCTCAGAATGTGGTGAAGTCTGTTTGAGGGTTAATTTGCACTTCCGACTGGCGGTAAGGCCTTACGGTGGATGTTTTTCTTTCAAAAGGAAGACATCTACGGCAAATAGCCGAATCTGTAGAAACTCATTACAGAAGGACCAACTCGATGTCCACTCCTGTCAAACCGCCACTTTTGAGTTTTACCGATTGCTTGCTGATCAAGAGAGATGGGAATTGACATCAGGAAAGGATTTTCTTTATTTCTCCAATGCTATCTTATTGACTTAATGGCGAATGTACACATGACTTGTAACTCACCGAATAGGCCGTCTTAAAGTCCTCATTCATTTGAATAGACTCAGTGATGCGACTTTCTGCCTCTTGTAGGGTGTCAAGGAATTCCGTGAATTGTCGCTGTTCCTGCTCATCGGAAGTCTAGACGATCAAAAAATTAAGCATAGAATCACATGGCCTCCGGAAGAATAAAAGTGTAGTGATTTAGTATTCCACTCAGCTCTGTGTTTAACCTCACAGGTCCTTCACTCCACACAGTTTGCACCTCAGTTCAGTAAAGTGGCCTAAAAGCCATACCTAGCTGTTCTTACATACTAGTATGGAAGGCGAATACCATTTAAGTGGTGACTATCGAGGCTGCAATAAAATGTAATGCCTTCACCTAATCGGTATTTCGACTGCATTAAACCCAAAGAACAGCCACTACATTTCTATCTAAACTGGTAGTCCGATTGCCACCTAAAATCTACTTACAACCTTTTGAGCAATGTGTACTCAATTGCAAGAGAAGGTGGATTCCGAAATCATAAGTTCATTCCCTAATTTTAACAAAATCTGTTCACCAAAAGCCTCTTTCGTACACCTATCGCAGAATGCGATCTTTTAAGCTTTCAGGTCCACAAGGCGACCAAATACACATTGAAATTTTTTCTCCCAACAAGGGCAAGAGTGCTGGAAAATTCAGATCTTTAAAATGCCTCGATCTCGGGAGCAAAACACCGAATCAGAGTCATCTCCGTCTTTACCTCTCTTCCATTGCTCACCTGTCTACCATCTTTTGCATATAATTACCAAATGTCGAGAGGAGTTGTTAATCCGTTGGAGGTATATAAAGCAAAACTAAGGCGAAAGTATCTCCTCCTTCTTCTTATCATTCTATGGTGTACATTTCTTCACTGAATGGCAAGTCTTAACTGATTTTTAAATAGGAACTTTTTCTTCCTCATTCTTGCGTTATAGCGGGTTGTTTAGGGTAGACAGCAAAGGCCCCTCGTCGACTGGCCTTCAAAAGTTAAACACTTGCCTCTACAGTCCACTACATGCACAACGATAGACAAGTTTTTTGGTGATGAAATGGTGCTTGCCTTATAAGCGAGTGGATAGCCTGGAAAAAACCAAGAAGTTTACTGGATGAAAAGGAAGTTTGCAGATTACAACAGGAGCGGGATGTTCTGCTGCCATACCCTTTCAAAATACTATTCAACACATTTCACAAGAAGCTCTTGCAATTTCAACACCAAGCTAAATTCGATTTGTAGAGTTGACTACCTCTGATCCCAGCCTAGAAGACACTTTTCAAATTCCCGCAACCTACAATTAGTCGTTGCAGCGAACGACACCAAACAATGCACACTACACTGCACCAACGCAAAAATGGAGGTGAGAAAAAAAGAAGACAAGCCTTACTGTCACCAAAAGTTTTCTGATTACTCATTACTTATATTATCTAATTGCTGTTCACTGGTGTCCGCCTTGCCACATTGGCCCATCACGCTAACAGTCACTGGCCAAATTTCAACGTACCAGAGTTTTAGCTTTTCCTGTTTCCGGATAAGCCTTATAAAATTGTGCCACATAGGTCATAATTGACTTTTCATCAGGTTTTTCGACGTCCACATCTACAAGCCAAGGAAAAAAGGAACACGGTGATTTTCAACCAATCAATAATCAGCAAATTTTTAAACCACCCAATTAGATGTAGCCTTACAGAAAAGTGGATTTACCCACCTTCAGGATCCAAAATTTTTGGGATACCCAACTTCTCCTCAGCCACTGTGAACGCTCGGTGAAGGTTTTCTCGATTACTTCCTCGCTCCACCTCTCGCATATCCACCAGCCTGGGATCTATGCTGTGGACGATTGCGTTGAACGCCACGCCATCTCGCCAACTGGGTCCAAAGTCTTTGATATCAATGTTGAATTTCCTAAAAAGGGACAAAACTGGGATTGACGTTTTCTGCCTAAATGGTTCACGATTTAGGCGTGCAATAGTAGCTTTTATTATTGCAGTGTAGGAGCAAGGTGGGCATGATCTTTTCTTACCTGAATCGCTCAATGCGTCTATACAATTAAAAGACATTCCTTTTTAGCCCTGGCGAATGAATAACCCTGCTAAAGGCCCACCTTGCTTTGAACAGGAGAATGTATTGAACTCACTCGCTGAAAGCATTCTGTACCCACGTTGTTAGAGCCTGCTTTGCCGTGATCTTGCTTCTGTTTCCGGTCTTTGGTATGCCCAAAAGCTCCAACAACATTTCCTCCTGTTCTTCAATCTAATTGTGGAGGACATGAACATAAGCAAGTCATTCTGTTACCTGGAAGTAGAGAATAATGATCCAAATCAGGCCGAGGACAATTTTTGGTCTTCCATCCACAATATCCACGGGGTTGATATTCACAAGCCTAATCTAGGACGATAATTAATGCGCCGGCTGAAGAGAAACCTACTTTTTTAGTACCCAAGAAGTCAAGTGCGGTCTTCGCATTGCTTAAACAATGAGCCGGTTTCATATCCGCAGTTATATTGACTGGCTACATGAGGTAAGAAAAGGAGATTGAAAGCGACCTTACCAGAGTCTCCCTTGAGAGAATCTCCAGCAGTCGAATAAGCACCACACCATCTCGAATCTCCTCAAACAGATCATTTACTTTGATTGGCGGGTTGGCCTGAAGTAATTTGCGCTAATAAATAGGTATATTTTTTGTCTACCTTGATGAGATAGGTGTTCATCCAATTTGTGAATGTCTTTTTCTGTACATAGTCCTGTTCCCCTGACAAATAAAATAAATTGTTTTGATTGATGTCAAACACATTAAATTGCCACTTTCGACACCTAAGTCTTGAGTCTTGGGGATTACAGGTCAAATTTAACTTAAACTCACCCCTTTTAGTTGAGATTTTCTGTTCTGGGGTCATTTCTTCCATTGACTCAAGAGTAGTTTGGCAGTGTTCCAGCCTTGAGAGCTTAGGATTGGGATCAATATGGGTTCTGAAGGAGGAGAGGAGTCTAGACGGTGGACTGTGGTGGCGTGAGTGCGGAGACTGGCTCCCCTGGCGGTCACTTTGTTGAGCACTCAATTGATCAATCACGCGGGTATATCGTTCACAGGCGGATTCGCTGATTTGTTGTCGGGCAATGCGACGAGTTTCCAGACTTGGTAAGGTTAGGCGGTTGGAAGTGAAGTCTTAGGAAGGGCGGAATGAATGAATGAAGATTAGTCTAGGAGTAATAATTGGGTATGGGGTTGCGTGACATGTCTTTCTAAAGCCTCGTGATTAGGCAACCTGACATCCAATCACGCAACCGTCAGCGCACATGCTTAAATGGCTAGGAGAAAATATGTCTGGTCTATCATGTAGGGTCACAAATGTGTTACTTAGGGGAAAGTGGCATCGCAATTTACAGTGATCTTAAAGTTACCAATTAAATAACACTTGGGGAGCTTTTGTCTTTCTTTTTGCACCCATCAAAAAACTACTACTTATTCCTTAACTCCTCTCATCAGGTGGATATGAGGGAAAAATAATCCATACTAACCATTGGCAGCAACTATTTTTTTGTGGATTTGGTTATTCTCATCTTAAAAAGCCCCTCCTGATTGGCCTGATTATAAAGGTCTTCATCGGCTGAGCGTCCCGATTGGTTGAATGAATACCTTTGTCCTCTTCGCGATCACTAATCATTGAACCAATTTTAAGCCCATCAGCTAGACTGGTCACTTTGAATTTTTGAGGTGAATCATTCATTTCGAATGTGGGATTTTCACATTGGTGCATAAAGTGACGAATAGCATGACTCACAGTTTGGCCAAGAAATGTAAGAAGCAGATTTTGTTTTACCTTCATACTTACCTTCTGCTACCCAAAAGAGGAAAAATAAAAACGCCTGAAAGTAGCTAATCGGTGTAGAAGGACTAAGAAGAGAACATCTTTTACTACAGAGTAGAACTGACTCATTCCAAAAGGGCGTCGGCACTCTAACTTCCTTTACGACTGGTACTTTAAATCCAATGAAGTGAATGCGCCAAATATTTGCTTGATTAAATAATTTGGATGGGAAGTAATTGCAGATGGATAATTTATTTTTTTTCCGAATTCTTTATGACAGAACAGTGAGACGTGGTGCGAAAGGTCAAGATATAAATCTCCATCCCGATCTGTTGATCAGCAGTCAAGTGATTCAGCTAAACCGTAAGACGTTAAAGTGCCTCGCTATGAAGGTCAGCAACAAGGAGCGCCTCAGTTAAAGCATAACAGTAGCTGTTGGGACTTCTTAGTCTTCTTTTTTACCAAGTGAACAAATGGTCTTTTTGCAGCCGGTCAGCCAGCTGATAAAAACTTCTTTGTTGGAAGGTTTGTACATTAGAACGGCAGGAGTGGAGGTACTACCCTATTCCGCCTCATTTCTCATCCTCTTTATTCTCTCACTCCAATTTCGCCAAGTAGTGATCACCTCCTAATTACCCACATGGGACGCGATTCAGTAGACAATGGACACTTATCTGCATTCTTGTGCTGTTTTAGGGCCTATGTAATCATATGAAGTCAGCGCGTAGGTAATCGAGCTCCCAGTGGCAGATCGGGATGGTCGGTGATTATCATGGACAACGCCTTCTTTCCACTAGATACGCCCATGTGGGGTACCGCCCTCACGGCCACAATATCGCCCAAAATGAATGACTAACCATGTCAACGTCTTGTAGCGGCTCATTAAGTCACGAAAACAACTTAGAAATAAAAAAAAGGTTGAACTCATTTATGCGTCTTTAAACACAATCTTGCGAATTTCCAGCGGTTACCACTGGCCCTGCAACGCTCCACTTTTTGGTCGCACAATGTCTGGTGTCTAAAGTGTCGGACAGGTGCCTACAGAAGAAGCAGGCAGTTATTAGGGCAAGACTGACTCATCGGCCAAATGACTCCAAACGACATCAAGGACTTGGCATCTGACTATATTATGCAGGCATAGCATACAAAGCCGTCGAAATGGACATTCAACTGAAGATTTCTAAAGAAAAGGCGATTCATTGGGGGACCTCAACAAATGACAACCGAATGGAAAGTAGGGGAAATGACCTCAGGTCGAAAAACTAGCCAGCCACCTTTTAGAGGGATTTTACTCTAAGGTAAACTTTCTGAATTAAGTAGTATGCAAAATGGGTCCACCGTGGAAAGCTTAATAATCCGCAAGGAGTCCTCTTCGACAAAAAAAGAAAATAAATGATGAACGTTATCAAAATTGTCAAAGTGCAGAGGGCTTCTCGATATGATGAACCACCAGTTTGCCATCTTTTGTGCCTCAAACTCCACAAGTTTTCTCACCCTCCCAAAAAACTGCCTGATGAATCCGAACTCTTCCGTAACAGTAAAGGTGCAGTTCAAAGGATATGATATCGTAAAAGTCGCGAAATATGAAGAAAAAATAAAAAATAATTTTTTTCGTTTAAAGTTTTACACGATTATTGACGGATCTAGCTGCCATGATTTGATAAAATTTGTGGGAACTCTTTAGTGGCCTTTTTTATATGCATGCGATGGCATAGGCGTGCCTCAGTCTCCTCTTCACTGTGCTCCATGTCATTATGCAGCTGCTTTGAATAGCCGTGAATTAGATCATACTTAGTCTTCCAAAGTGGTCTCATAGTTGCAGAAACATGCGAATGAGTTGAAGCAGTAGAACGCGCCACCTGGAAGATGGATGGTAGAGGGATGCATCCCATTCCATTGGACAAGGTGTTCTTGACCGAGTTATTACCTGTTCGCATTGGGTGGGTGGTTCAAGACGGAGATGTTAAGGACGGACAATCATCTTCGACGCCGTTGATGGATAATTCGTGGAAGCTGAGTAAATGGCAGGTGAAGAGATATATTTTCAAGAATCATCTATTTCTTCCTTTCCTCCATGTTGGGTTGTGTAAACGCGGGATTTTTTGACAGCCTGCTGACTAATATGCATTGAAATATGGCTTGTTAATTCAACTTCTAAGAAAGGCGGCACTTCATCACCTAGTGGTTTGTGCATTGTTCACTTGGTGAAGGTCAAAAATTATGGCTAACATCGACCTACTCTCTTCACCCCACTTGAACGGCAGAAATAGGTGTAAGAGACAGCGAGGACTGGTAAAACAATCGAGAGAAGGTTTTCTTTTTACAAGACAACGCAGTGCAAAACCTCAGTCAGCATACTGCAAAGCTCACCACTGAAGCGACCCGGAGCCGGGTCGAGATTGCTTGACCATGGCTGCTTGGGGAAAGATTAGGGGTCAAACTAGGGATCATTAATGTCCAGTAAGGTCGAATGCTAAAAGGTATCATCATTGGCCCGCGGTAGTTGGAATAATTTAAGAGAGCATATTTAAGGCCACTTTAAGCCTTCCTCACCCACACTTCCTAATGAAATGAGAACTCGAGCGTGGGGAGTTTGGAGAGCATAGTCAAGTGGCTTGACAAGATTCGATATCACTTATTGAGTAAGGGGTAACCTGTTGAATTCAATTTTAAGTACATCAAGAAGAATCGAGTAATGGACACCCATATATTTACTTAACTCTCAAAAGCGATTAATTAAACCACTTCCACATGACCTTGTACTCAGGTGTCAATTGTCGCCGGAAGAGCTTTATGACTTCCGCTGTTGTTAAAGGTACAGAAAGGGAAAGGTTGCAACTGGCTCTAGCAGACCGCGCACCGACCAATGAGGTGGATACTCAGGTTTGACCAAATCGAATGCTATCTGGGTGGCAGGTTGGTTGCTGATATTATCAAGGCTAATTGTAGCTAACTCTATCCTATCTCTCTCCCCACGACCCGAAAACTGAGACTACTCGTTCAGCCAAAAGCGATGGTTGCTTTGGCAACCCACTGCTTACCATTCCCGGCTCTTAGGTCTCCTGGCATTCGGTCGCCACGTCTGCAATGTAGGACTCCACTAGCAGTGATTTTATCCTTGGATGGATGGATGACAATGAAGTGGAATGAGTCCTACACATTTCCCCTTCATGGTGCAACATTAGAAGACTCGGATTGAAATTCTAAAAGTTTTGACAGGTTTCTATTGTAAAACGGTCGGATCCACAGGATCCTGCATCAAGAAAAAAGGACTTTGGGCGCCAAAAGTCGTGAAAACAGGAGACTGGTTGAACGTTTACTAATATGGTGTTCAATAGTGGAGAGCTACCGGAGGAAGCAGCTTTGAGACTGTTAAATAAAACACAGACTCTGCTCACACTAACTGAGCTGCCAATCTCCAATGCCTTTCCATGTTCTGATAAAAAAGCTTATCCTAGACCTAAAAGCCTTATAATCGTCTCTCCAAGGCCGATTCAACCGTTAGATAGCAACAAATTCAGGCGTCCTTGAAACCCGCCAACTGCAGTTAAGTGATAAATAAAACAAGAAACCGAGAACTCACATCTCTCAGCAGCGTCGTTGACTGCGTTAGCCTGAAGGCCTGAGGCACGGGCAAATGCCGAGGCTCTAGTGGCCGCAGTATCATTTGGGCATGCAAATTGCACCTCAAAAGAATCGTGCACGCGCACACTTTGTGTGGGAGCCATCACCAAATCGAGAGAGCAATTGGTGGTGAAGTAAACAGGCTGATCTGCATCAGTGTTACTGTGGTAACACGTGGCGTAGTTCATGCCTCGCGTCGTGGGATCGGATGATGCCAGTGGAGGAGACTCGCCTGTGCGAGTGCGTGCACGCCAGGGCGCGCGTGCGCACGCTGATGCAGTCACGTGGGGGAGCATCTGCCAATGGCAGCTCGAGCATCAGGACGTCGGCATAGCAACAACTTAACGGGGCATTTAATAGGCTAAAAATGAGACTGACTAGGAGATGTTAGGTCCTCTATTCTAGTATTATAGTGTAAGAAGGAAAATCGTTAGAATACTAATTTGGTGGGAACCTAGTCAATTTTATTATTATCTACTTAGATCATCTAGCTTTTCCCATTAAGAGAATATTTTGATTGATAATTTTGACCCTAATTGGATGTTCAAATGTCAGCCTGCCGACCGACCGAGCGACCGACCGACCGACCAGACTACCTACCTACACAGTCACCCTCCTACCTACACACCTCCCTTCTTATCTACGTACTTATCTCGTCACTACCTGTCCGCTTACTTACCAATTGAACCACTCAACTACCACTTTACCGATTCGCCTCCCCACGCTCCTACACATTTACTCTCCTAACTCATAAGATCGTCTGATTTCACTGCTGACCAGACAACTGCTTTGTAAAAAAGTCTGCTTCCTCCCTTCCTTCTCTTCCACCTAAGTATTCAATTACTAATCCCCACCCAACTACTACATATCCTTCTGACACATCTAAACGGCTTCCCAGACACACCACAAAGTCGTAAATACACCCAGCTGTCAGTGATCCACCTATCTCTCCACCCCATTTTCTACTATGATTGGATTTTTCTTCCAGATTTTAAGGATAAGCAAATTCGACTCTCCAAATGTCCACCTATTTAACCTGTCTAAGGTCACAACAAAGGCGGACTTTAATCATTCTTATTTCAAATAATTTATTCACACCTAATCAACAATCCACTATCTCGCCTTAGGAGGTTAATACAACGATTCTGGTTATGACAAATCCCACCTCATTTCTCACAACATGGAGTGACAAACGCCTTCTTCTTTCTCGATACTGCATTAATTGCTAAATCGACATTCTTATTCACCACCGACATGGAGGGCTTTTCAATCGCTGTTCCAGAGGTCGGCATCCACACTTTGGTACCTTTTTCCGATTGTTTGAAAATGGACTGCTCCTGCAAAATCTTTGACATCTCCTTGTACGGCTCACTCACATGCGCTGGCCACTTATTCAACGTTCCTGCCTTACATCCGCCATCTAGCTTGCCTGGATTCTGTGGATAGAAAATCGGTCCAGTTATCAATTCCTTGGGGAAACAAGCCACCCCGAATTTTTGTATGGGTGCTCCACCAGGGGCTAACGGATCCCCACCTTCGTATGGATTGGGACCGAAGGCTCTACCACTTGGTTGCTGACTCACAAATATGCCCCTTCCTAAACACTTCTCCTGATGTCTTTCGTTCAACTCCTTCACGGATATTGCATTCAAATCTGAATGAATTCCATCACCAGGTTTCCATTCTGGGAGCGGGTTAATTGCCACGTTGGGGTACCCATATCCAGTCCCCTTTTTCCCTGGATTCGTATAGAAGTTGTGCAGTTCTGGTGCCTTCGTAATTTTTATCTGCTCTGTCCCCATGGCCGGTATGACGGTAGTGAAGTTGCCATAAGGACTGCCCACCCCACAGCGCTTCTTGCTCGTAGACGAAGGCACCCACTCTTTTCCGAGACGCCTTGCCTCATTTAACCGCCTCCAGGAACGGTGGAGAGCGACTTCATCGTTGAAAGCTTCGCCTTCAAATGCCCGTTTGAAGGACTCAAAGTAGCCATCAGAGTTTGCAGCCCTGGACTTTGAATGACCACCGGCGCAGTACATAGGTCGTAGACCACGACGTGGTCTCCCCCTAATTCCATATGGATCGGGGTCCACATAAGGATCGCTGGTATAGGGCGGTTGACTGAATACGCCGAAAGTCCGAAGAGCGGGTTTTAGAAAGGCCTCGCCGGTCATTTTGACGTCGAGTCTATGGCCATGTGGTCGGATTAAAAGAATCAATAAGTCGCGGAGTGGCGCGTTGACCGTTCCAAAGCAACCGCAATTGCAAATACACCTTTTGACACACATTTTTTGTCACCTATTTGAGGATTGCCATTAAATTTGGCAATACAATATGAGTGATTAATAGTACTTTTGACCTGAAAAACGTCAGACAGCTTAACAACTGGAAGAAGCAACATGAGATGTTTTCGATGTCAGTCATGGATTGACTACATCCAGATTGATTTATAGTGTTGAGTTGACAAGTTATTGAGAATTTTTTAAAAAGTCCTTTACGAATAGCGTAAATCTTTGCTACTTTTAGTTTAAGATTTGTCTTTCTTTTTACATCACTTTCTGTTGGAAAATTTGGCTTTGTTCTTCGCTCAAGCTAGTTAGACGCATCTAGGTCAATGAAAGTTTTCCTTGTACATAACAGTGTTGCTCGAGGCAGTGAGAGGTTGTAGCTGCGCTAGACAGCCATTTAGACTGACAGTGATAAATCGCCGGTGGCCAGGAGCACTGACCTGGCAAATGCTCATCACGGTAGGTGCCTGTTTTAATCTTCATTAGAATCGGATAGAAGAGATCGACAGTATCCATCTTTGTGACCATGGAGGTTGTACTGACACTACCAGCGATGACCCTGAGGTCAGGACTTGACAAAGTGCCAGCAGGAAGAAGATATTTTTCTTTCCTTGGCAACAATGTGCTGGTTGCAGAGATGTCGGCTAGATTTGGACTGGCTGGGTGATCATGGTCCAAATCAGCTAGGGTACTGTTCTGCATAAACCTGGGAGCAGTCCTGGTATCCGAACTTGAGCCAAAATGGTGTCATGTTTAGGATTGTTCAGGTGTTGAGACCTCTCAGCGATTGCCTTAAAAGCTTACAAAACTTAGACATTTGGCCAGCTGGCGATGAGAAGAGAATCCGGCATTTAAAATCAGAGATCGTGTCATCGTGCGATGAGTTTTGCAGCTTTAGTCATCCAGAGTAAATATTCTCCTGCAATGATTACATTCGGTACCAAGACTTTCTTAGCTCTGCAGTCGTTGGGGCACTCAGTCCTTCCTTTAGCCCCAATAAGTATGTTTTCTTAAAGCATAGAAGGCTGGAAGGCTCTGGGAAGAGAAAGAGCGTCATGGCACTAAAAGATCCACCAAAAAGGACACGGATCCACTTCCACCACTACGATCGCTTTATGGACATAAGTAGCCATTGTCGTCATCCTTACTCAAGACTCTATTGGGAATGTCTGCTACAGCAGAAATCTTTGCTACTTGACCTTCTTGACCCTCCTTCTAAGACCTCACAAGACCTAAATTGGATGGTTAATTATTAAAGAGCTGAAGAAAGCCGTCTTGAAAATTCATTTTTTTAAAATGATCTCGAGTAGATACTAGACTGATAAAAACATCATTTTTGTGCTAAATCTCGCAAAAGCTAGCGTGCTTTGGCAAACTTTCAGACTTTTATTCGTAAGTTTTCTATTCGCCTTCCAGACCTGACATTTGAATCAGCGGATTCCCTGAAGTTGACACTTAACGTTCCTGCGGAATATCTCCCGCAGAAAAACAGGAAATCTTATTTTTTCAATTTTCATTACGCCCTCAAGCAAAAGAATTTTACGTAGGTGTGATTTAGTTGGTAAAAACTGCTATGACTCAAGTACCTGCAACACTAGGAACAATTTTCCTTTATTTTTTAAGTAAATTACCTTAAAGGATCCATTTCTACCGTTGTCTTCGACGTCACCATTACCAATTACTAACTAGTAATAACAGTGAAAACAAACTGTTGCCACAGTTGGTAAAATATGGGGGCTCACTTTGAAACCTAATTTACAAGCAGATCTTTAACAAAGGTGCGGGACAATTTTACAGACAGGCACAATTATGATCCACCTTTAAAAGCACTTCTAAATGAAACTTAAAGAGTCAAAAAATTCACTAATTTACTCAATTCAGAAACGGAAATACCTGTACTCTTTTGGGTGAAGAGGTGAAAACTCCTTTTTAAGGATCGTAATGATAAAACTATTAATAAACAGTCTGCTTAAACAAAGCTGTTAGACATTGTGACACAAATAAATTGCAAAAATGGGGAAAATTCAAGTCATTTAGGGGAGATGCATTTTATGTACAGAAAGCATGACATATGCAACACTTAATCAACAATCAGCACTAAACATTTTGCATTTTAAGGGATGCTATTTATTTGGAGTCTATATTTGCCATATCTTTGCATTTTGGTGCCCTCATTAAATATCCCTATGGATTAGACGAATTGTAGTGTTAATGCTAAAGCCCTGGTCACTTAGCCTAGATTGGTCGCTCGACCCACGTTGTCACTCTCACGAGCCTTTCCCCTTACAAAATGTGGGTGTTCGGCGGTAGTGGCGAATCAGCCCATAAGAGCAACATTGAGGAGGCAAACAAACATCTTGCGGCAATGGCCCAGAAAATTAGGGAGTTGGAAAAGATAGTTGAGGACCAAAAACAGGAAATTCTCGAAAAGGACGAACGAGCAACTCTGTGTATAAAAGTATGTGGCTAGCTGCAAACACAATTTATCGTGGTGGTTGCAATTTAGATATCCAGTTTTTTTTCTGAAAGAAGTTGTTGGGGCTAAGAAGCTTTTATGTTGAATTATTGTTGCGAAAGTATTGAATGGTCACTTTTGGAATCAGCGGTTTCGTTTAATCCACGTTATATTACTTTTAAGTTGTAATTTTCTGAGTAGGTTCACTTGTTTTTGCGTATTTTAATGGGTCCTTTCAGATTTGGTAAAAAGTGGCTCAAATATCACTTCTAGTACATACATGGCAGCTATTTTTTCGTTTCTTCTCTTCAAATTTGGAGTAATTTTGATTACCAGATGTATTCTTCCTTTCTTATGCATTTTAGAGGTTGCAAAACTACTTAGACTTAATTCACCGAGCCCTTTTGTGCCCTAAAGCCAACTTTTGGTTAAATTTAGGCTGTCCTAGTGCTGTGTTCTATAAGCGTTATGTTAGGATGTTATTCTCTTACTCTTAAACACTCTCCTTTGTAACTTATTTGTCGTTTTCACTATGACTACCATAGGTGGTAACAGATCATTGAGTGCTTTGTAATGAAACACCTGCTAACCTTTTTCAAAAATGTTAATTTGTTTTTTTCGCGTTATTTTTAATTCGACCATTACCTGTCGTTAAAATAAGTTTGCTGACGTCAGTCTCATACTGTCCCGTTTACACATTGGACTTTGAGTCCTCGTCAAATAACATTCCTCATGCCCATACATTCACATCCAGCACCAAATTTATCAAATTATATCACACCGGATCTCAACTTTTATGGGTTTCTACTCTGCGCCACATCTTACTAATCGCTTACTTGGCGCAATTTAAGTAGCAGATGATTTCTTCCTCAGCAACTGGGCGACAACCACCATACCGAGGTAGCTGAACTTAAGTCCAAAATCAAGGACCACCTCTCCACCATTCGCACTCTTCAAGGTGACGTGAAGCGTCGTGACACCGAACTGAACATCCTGCGCCAGCGCGCCCGCATGCTGGATGAGGTGATGCGCTACAAGGCGAGTCTGGCCAAGTTGACCATCACCTTAGAGCAGGCGGAGCAGTATTCCCGTTCGGTGGCCGGCCGAGCAGGTCTCAATGAGCCTCGATTAGCTGTCAACGGTGGCACTGACAGTGGCAGCATAGCAGTATATACCGAACCCTCGCCTCGTATCAATTCTGGCACACCGTCCTACTACTTGGTGGATGAAATGCCGGATGAGGAGTTGATTGATCGTGTTGGTGAGACGTATATAAATGGGGAGAGGAAGAAGGCGAATGAAGAGGCGGATTCTGCAAAGCAGAATAGAAAACCCACGCTGATAGAAAAGGTGAAAGCAAAAGAGATGAAGTAGGAATGCCCTCAAATATCAGTTAATTCGTTAACCTATTCATATCTTTTTTGACTGCTTTTCTCCCTTTTTCTTTCTTTTCTGTGATATTGCGTACGTGTATATTGTGTGCATATGGGCCAGAGAAAGAAGATGCGATTACATATTTACACTTGGTGTTCGCCTTTTCCCACATCAGCCATCAAAGCGGTATCGGGGTGAATTTAACTCCACGTTAAGGTAGGAATGAGGGTGTCACACTGAAAATTTTTCCTAACCGAGCACTCGTGGTGAGATCCTTCTGTATCTTTCCACAGCTTTGAGCTTGCGCACCATTGCTAAGAGCTCGACGATGTTTTCCAGCCACCGTACTTCATATATCATTTGTTTTTTGTGGGTTAGCCATTCTGTTGTCATTGATGGATTGCTTTATCTGTCTCTTATGCAGTTGAAGTTAACTCGTGGAACGTGAGTCCTGCAGAAACCAAAGTCTGTTGTGGGTGTACGTCTTCAGCTATCCTCGTTAGCTTCCTCCCATCCACTATTTAAGCAAGTCAAGCGTTAGCCTTCTCTTGAAGAGAAAAGAGGACTCTTGACTGCCATTAATTGGAATTGAGGTGCCAAGAGGAATTTTTAGCAACTTTTGAGGAGAGTGATAAAACGACTCCTTTGACACTTACACCAACCAAATGTAGATTGATGGTAGTAATTTTCAAGACTTACCTATTTTTTCTTCCCTCGTGTTAATGTGAAGACACTATTTTTGGATTGTTTGCTCACTGACTTGTGATGGGGACTGGCTTTTGTGTTTCCTCGAGTAAGGCAAACAATCTCACCATTGGTTATCATCAAACAACCCGCTCACTACCCCCACGTTGGGCATCATTCCGTCCTCAGAAGATCGTGCTTTTGTATTCCATTGTTGTTTTCTTGGCAAAGACCAAACAATCAGGATTACCATCCATTTTCTCAGGATAACTTGATATAAATGAAACAGGTGCAGGAAACCTATTCTCTAGTATTTATCACGACTAGTGAGTCTGTTGCAAGGACACCGCAGCGGTAGATCTCATGGCACCACAAACCTTGCCCGTGAGAGGATCCCATACCACACTATGGAACTGGAGAAGGCGGAAGGGGACGGACTGTCTCACCCTCTGTATCCCTCGGTCTTTTTTAACTGTTTCTCATCTTTTCTTTCCATGTGTAACAGAACGATTTGGTGTCCTGAGCCAAACTGCTTACTTCCTGATGCAAAGTTTTCTATGAAAGGCTCTGCCTCGTGTGCGAAGAGAGAAGACTGTGGTCACCCTTTGCAAAGCATTCTGGTGATATTTAAGCTTCTTCTGACCATAATATAGCCGCACAACTTCACGTGATTTCCTTAGCTTTCGGGTAAAATGATAAGGCGTGTTAGATGAATGAGGTGCCTATGCGACACCCCTAGACCGAGGCTAGGGGGTTGGGGGTCATTAAGATTTTATGAAGGATTAAGAACTTAGACGGGAATAATTAGATAATGTCGAGAAATTGCTAGTCTGCACTACTGTAGTTTATTTAGTCAAATGATTTTTTATGTAAAAAATTATTTTTTAGGAAAACAACTTCACGAGTCCCTATGTAGGTGTGCGGAGGCCAAACTGAAACAAAAAACAAAACGAGATTTTCTCCTTCCGGACACCGTTTTCAGTTAGCTCTTTCATTCACCAATAGTCAAATGGTAGATGCTTCCTGATTATGGCTCAATCAAAGAAGGAAAACAACTTGTCATGAACTGTATCATCACTTGTTGCAAACCGAATTTTATTGTGTGATAGGTCGGGATTTTGGGTTAGATGTCTCCGTTGACTGACGTGAGTGGATGGCCAGTGGAGAATGCCGATGTCTGAGAAGGAGTCTGATTCTCAATTTAGTAGCCTTCTCCCTATGTCGCAAAGGCGCTGCATCATCTCCGTTTTTGTTCCACAGTTGCATATAATCCATGCAACCCACGTCTCAGTTCAAACAACGAGGAGTTACTTGGCGATTTGACGGCTTAATGCACGCTTTTCAAAGAAACCTCCTTCTCCAGCCTCTATTCTTGTTTCCGAATTTTCGGCCTCCCATGAGTTCGACGTGGATAAAGCTTTTAGTCACTCAGCCGTTCCGTCCATTACAAGCAATTTTTCCGTACTGTCACGCATTATTGCGTTCTGAGGGAGGAGCCGTGGTACAACACTTTTCCCTTCTCCGCCCTCCAAAATGATAGGCACCGAGCGGTGTCGACAACGCCGACATCTTTAATTTAGGCACCATAGCCACTAATAATACGGCAAAACTGGTCAACTTTTACCCACGGATACAGCACCGTTGTCAACTAGGACTAGTAATGAATAGACAAGGATATTTTGGGGAAACAACTGGAAAATAGCTGGTTGACTCGACTTCTCTCTGGACGTAGTGCTCTGGACACACCGTGCATGAGCTTAGCTTAGATTTATCTCATTCTGCTCTACATCTGCGTCCTTGAAGGAACTGCCAAAGTGTATCCATACCCATACTACCACAAAACACCCCAGCAGAAATGATTGCTGCCACTATGAATGTAAATAGTCCCTCAAGAAGATTCTCCAAGTTTAGTAATATTTGAGGCGAATTTAGGCAGCACAGTCAAGTATGGAGCAATCTATGGCTTTCTAGAGTTATGCTGAAAGGAAAGCAAGAGTTGCAACAATGAAAGACAGTTGTTGGGCTAAGTCCTATCAAAACGTCGCAGATTATCGCCAGTAAACAGGGTAACAGATTTGTGAAGTAATTGAATTGAAGGTGGATGACCTTTCTACGGTGGAAGGTGGAAAGTTGGTACTAAGATTTTGTTCATTTGACATCACGGACCAGTCGATCTCCACTACCAACAGTTGAGTGAGGTTGAAATCGCTTTAAGGGAACAACATTCATAGATTTGGCTGGTCCTGTCCATAGAAGACGAACATTTGCTACCGATAGTTGAATCCGTGGAGTCGCAAAACAGAAGAGAGGTGGCTGTGGGAAATGCGTCACGAATCTCGACATTCATCCTAACATTGAGAGCTGCACCACAAACGAGCAATAGAGTTCGGCTAGATTTGAACAAATCCAAAGCTTCTGCTAAGGAAGTTCTTGTGTACAATTAATACCTCCGCCAAGTCCAGAGCAGATGGGTGAAGAGGAACAAAAGAGGTGGAAGCGAAAAGTGGAAAGTGGAAGGCAAAAAGTGGGAAGTGACAAGAGCAAAAAATGAATGGCGACAACGACCCGGCAGATCTCAATTCCATGCTTACTTCCGAGGTAGGGTAATGAACTCCATCAAGGCAAATCAACGACCCAGGTGACCTCACAGTCCTCGAATGGCGAACCTCATCCTTTAGCTAAGACAAATAAATGCGAGCTTAAACTAAGTGGCCAAATTAAATTCACCTGGGCACTGGTCCTGCTG